AACTTGTGGTGATTCATGGTTCTAAGTAAACACTTAATCCTGCATTCACAATGTTGCATCCTTTTTCTTAAATTTTATGATATTCAGTTTGTATAAACTTCAGGCTCAACAAAATCTGATGGAACCTCCTGGGTGCAATATAAATTCAATGTGGAGGGAACAACGCACCTATAAAAATTCAAATCTGGAGTTTTGCTGTCACTCAGAGAACAGCTGAGACATCAGGCCCCAAGAGATCTGGTGGATGGAGAGGAGTGGAAATGAAGCCAAAGTGGTATTGATAACAGACACCCAGGCCTAGATGGGCCAGAATAACAAACTGCCTCTGTCCAGGGGCATGGAGGAGGCTCACTTACAGGCTATGGTTAGGAGTCTAGCCGTTTTTCTAAGAGCAACTGGAAAGCACCAGCAAGCTTTAAGCAAAAGAGGAAGCGTTCACTAGTATGATAAGGAGGCCAGTGTCTGAACAGGGGTTGCTTGCACCAAGGTGATGGTTCTTCGGGATTTCCAGTGTCCACAGACATCAAGTAGAACCACCCTAAGTGTGTAAGGGGTCAGAGGTTCACTGGCTTCCCCAGAAATCCGTGCTTGGCCAGTTGACCCCTGGGTCTGCAGCCAAGTGCTATAAAAACCCCAAGGGAGGTGGATTTCTCCTATCCTCTCTGCTTTCTGATTAATCATTTAGATGGGAAACTGAATCCTACTCAGGTTTAAAAAAAAAAAAAAAAGTGAACTCCAGGTCAGAATCACAATCTTGTCCCAAATAGATGACTTTCCCCCCCTTCCTGGTTGGGGCATTGGGGGTGTATTTAAAAAACAAATTATTTTCATTCAGTCACCGTTTCCTAGCAACCACAAAAACACATCTGCTTTCCTGCATGTGTGAGCACCGGCCTGAGCAGATGCCCCCAGAAGCAGGGAGAGAACAAAAGCCCAGGAATCAGTCTCCTTCGGTGGGAGACTCTGAAAGGGGACTTTGTTAGGAGCCCTGCATCTCATAGAATGCACTCTGAGAGACCCGCACCATCGCTGTGGGGGTGCAGAGGGGGGCCTGAAGGGAGTGTGCAGATGTTCTTCGGGGCCTGATATTCCTACAGAATATGGGGGCTGTGCCTTCAGGGGGTTTAATGAAGCAGCTAACGCCTGAGACCGCTGACATCTTTCCAGTAGCTCTTCTGTGTGTGTTTCCAGCCAGAGCGTTATTTTTGTTCAAGCTCTATGGACAGAGAAGAAGGGTGAATTCAAATCTGAACTGAATAGAGTCTCTACAAATGGCCCTCTTTCAGCCAGGCGTAGCTGCTCCGTGCACGTCAGGCACTGGACTCTGCAGCTTTCCTCTCCCACCATTCACCGCGTCTCTTACGGAGGAGGAAGCACAGACACAGGGAGGAGAGCCCCCGTACCCAAGGTGACACAGTTAGCTGGTAGCCTCCCAGGTCTCCGTAGGGGGAGATGCTCACATTTGAAAGATTTATACCTTTGCATGTATGCCACATTGAATGGTAGTGGGGTGGGAGGTAGGTCTGAGGCAGTGGTTCTCAACCTTCCTAATGCCGCGACCCTTTCATACAGTTCCTCATGTTGTGGTGACCCCCAATTTCATTGTTACAAATTGAGCATAATGAAAGCATAGTGATTAATCACAAAAACAATCTGTAATTATATATGTGTTTTCCGATGGTCTTAGGCGACCCCTGTGAAAGGGTTGTTCGACCCCCAAAGGGGTCGCGACCCACAGGTTGAGAACCGCTGGTAAGGGGAAGCTGTTAGAGCAACTAAGATGCAAGTCTATAATTTGTAAGTCTGAAATGCAAAGGACTGGCTCAGAATGACAAAACAAAATAGGTTAAACCAAGTGCTAAGGCTTTTGCTTTTTAAAAAGGCATAGCCCTAGCTCATTTGGCTCAGTGAATAGAGCCTCGGCCTGAGGACGGAAGAGTCCCAGGTTCGGTTCTGGTCAAGGGCAAATGTCTGGGTTGCAGGCTCGATCTCCAGTAGGGGGTATGCAGGAGGCAGCCAATCAATGATTCATTGATGTTTCTATCTCTCTCTCCCCCTCTCCCTTCCTCTCTGAAATCAATAAAAAAATATTTTTTTAAAAAAGTCGTAGAAGCTGAGTCATCCCACCCCACCCACCCCATCCCCTCCTCCTATACCACTCACATACACTCAAGGAACTGAGGTAGGACCAATGTTTTTACAACTTACTGAATTAGCAGAATGCTAGCCTTTGTGGAGTTGTACAATGTAGGCCAAAAGGTGCTCTTGGTGATGTTAACCAGGCTCATCATTTTTTCAGACAACACCTCAGCCTGGGGTACAGAAGAGCCAAGAAGCTTGGCCATGGCCACACCAGTCAGTGGTGCAGGAGACACTACATTCCAGCGTCTGGCCAGCCCAGGTCCAGAGCTTTTCTTTCCCTAGGCCCTGAGGCCACCTCTCTGGCTTGCAGTGTCCTCTCTGGATTTACTCTCCTGCAGAGATGACATTCCTGTCTCTATCATTAATTCCTCTCCAATGGAATGCTCCTTTCTTCCCCCCTTTCACCTTCTCCAATCTCATCCAAGGCAGGTGTAGCAGCAGCAAGAATGGTCCGAAAGAATTAAATTGGTCTGGTGAAGAACTCCTTTAAGTCATGGCATCCTGTTTCCTTTCTGCTCATTGTCGAAGAGCTGGATCCAATGAAGCTTAACGTCTATGTGAGCAGCCAAACCACACCAGAAGGTTATTGGCAGTTTGATCTCGATCTCAGTTCAGCAACCTCGGTACTTGAGTACTGGTTAGGCAAGAATTCAGAGCCAAGACTCAAACTATAAGAGAAAGTTTCTTTAGAAAGTAACAGAGGTCGAATAAGTGAGCTGTAGAAGAAATGGGCTCAGGAAACAAGTTACAGAGGCAAAAGAAGGCGCCTCTTCTGGGCCTAGAGCGGAAACACAACTCAGGACCACATGTAGTTGATGCAGGTCAGAATCTCCTTGTCCTGGAGGGCTGCTCTGTGGCCCCATTGTTTCTTCCTCTCTAAGGGGGTCTAACCCGCATGACTAGCAACATGCCAGGGGAGGAGAGGCCAGGGGAGGTCTGAACCGTATGACCAGTGATTTGAAAGGTCGGGGGGGTCTAAACTGCATGACCAGTGATATTCTAGGGCAGTGGTCAGCAAACTGCGGCTCGGCAAACCGTGGCTCGCGAGCCACATGCGGCTCTTTGGCCCCTTGAGTGTGGCTCTTCCACAAATACCGACTTCTGCGTATGGGCCACGAAGTTTCAATCGCACTGTACGTGCGTGCCCGCACGTGGTATTTTGGGGAAGAGCCACACTCAAGGGGCCAAAGAGCCGCATGTGGCTTGCGAGCCGCGGTTTGCCGACCACGGTTCTAGGGAAGGAAGGGTTACCTTGGGGGTAAGGTCCTTGTTTCCCCAGTTTTGACCATTGCTAGGCACCCATGGCTTTCCGCCCTGGTGACTTTCTGTACCTGGCCCATTGTCCTTGCTCTGCTCATGTCTGTCTCACTGCCTACCACATTTATATACTACAATTTTGTTGTTGTTTTGTTAATCCTCACCGAGGATATTTTTTTCATTGATTTTTTAGACAGAGTGGAAGGGAGGAAGGAGGGGAGACAGAAAGAGAGAAAAATCGATGTGAGAGAGACACAACGATTGCTTGCCTCCCCAACATGCCCTGACTGGGGCTGAGGCTCGACCCTGCAACCGAGGTATGTGCCCTTAATTGGAATCGAACCTGGGACCTTTCAATCCACGGGCTGACACTCCAACCACTGAGCCAACCGGTTAGGGCATGCTACAATTTTTTATAAAAAGGTTTCTAAAGGTTTTTCCCCCCATCATTTTTATAGTAGTGATTGAAAAACATGTGCATAATTTCAAAAGTACAGAATGTAACATAATAAATATCCATAAACCTCTAATCAACAAAGATTAACATTTTTATTATTAGTCAGAGTTCTCCAGAGAAACAAAACCAACAGGATGTGCAAATATACATACTAGAGATTTAGTTTAACGAATTGGCTCACATGACTGTGGTAGCCTGGCCAGTCCAAAATCTGATGGGGTAGGCTGGCAGGCTGAAGACGAGGGGGGAGTTGCAATTCAAGTCCAAAGGCTGTCTGCTGGCAAAACTCCTTCTTGCTTGGGAGAGGTGAGTCTTTGTTTTTTGAAGGCCTTCAACTGATGGAATGCGGCCCACCCACATAATGGAGAGTAATCTGCGTCGCTCAAGGCCACTGACTTAAATGTTGATATCCATAAAGCACCTTCATAGAAACACCCAGAATAATGTTTGACCGAATATCTGAGCACAATGGCCCAGCCAAGTTGCTATATTAAATTGATCATCACAATTTGCTTTAAATCTTGTTTAAGAAATAAAACTGAAAAAAAAAGAAATAAAACTGAAGATATAGTTGATATGCCATTTATACTGTTCCCTGGGCACCCTATTCAACACTGATGATTTTTTTAAAATATTTTTTTTCTTTTATTGATTAAGGTCCTTATCCCTCCATGGCCTCCCTAACTCCCCCCTCCCCCCCGCTCGTTCATGCCCTCACCCCGCTAGTATCTGTGTCCATTGGTTACAAGTCCTTTGGTTGATCTATCCCCCTTTCCCCCACCCTCCCCTGCCTTCCCTCTGAGGTTTGATGGTCTGATCGATGCTTCTGTCTCTGGATCTGTTTCTGTTCATCAGTTTATGTTGTTCATTATATTCCACAAATGAGTGAGATCATGTGATATTTATCTTTCTCTGACTGGCTTATTTCACTTAGCATAATGCTCTCCAGGTCTATCCATGCTGTTGCAAATGGTAGGAGTTCCTTCCTTTTTATAGCAGCGTAGTATTCCATTGTGTAGATGTACCACAGTTTTCTAATCCACTCATCTGCTGACGGGCACTTAGGCTGTTTCCAAATCTTAGCTATTGTAAATTTACACTGATAATTTTTGTTTTGTAAACTTTTTTTGTGACTTCAGAACCCGTTTGACCCCATCACCTAAACTCCAATTTCTGGTTCAATGTTGGGGTAGGAACTGAAGACATGGTCTCACATTTGCCATAACCACATGGTCTTTCAAGGACCGTCTGGCCATAAGAAGTTGTGCATGGGCTCTATAGAAAACACTATTAGGAGCCATTGCACCGGGGGAATTCACTGGGAGTCGCTAGGTCCAATGTACTCAGAGCTCAAACATATTCAGAACACAAACCATCCCCATTCGGTTGGTTCTCCCCAAATAGTCTCACCCGCTATTATACAAGCCTGGCCTGTTTTACTTGCTAGTTTATTGCAAGGGTCGGTAAATGATGAATGCTGAAAAAACTCCCAAGGAATGAGAAGTGCCAGATAAACTCACGGTACAGTGCACTGGCCTCCAGACAGCTTTCTGCCCTGGAACCTGCTGGATAAGAGGCCTGAGCTCTGCACATTCTCGGATCCCTTCCAGAGCCTGGGACTCCATGACTGGTATTTGGAGTGATAGCGTCCCTAACTCCAGTTCTCTCTGATTTGCTGCGGTAGCTTCTAGGCTCAGAGAGACTGCATCTTCCTAACAGACATCAGGTGCAGTGTAAGCTGCAGATACCTGCGCAGCTGGCTCAGCCTTTAATCATGGAAAGAAGGCTCCTAAAGAAGGAGGTGAAAAGGCTCCTGTAAGTAAGACTGAGGATAACTCTCATTTACCATACTCAGCATTTGGTGGGTTTCCTGTCATGGGTGGTCTGATATTGGCAGGAGGGTAAACATCTCAGGAAGGTTTTATTCCTGCACTATCGAAAAAAAGCCAGACAATCTGGCCTGTGTCTCCGGCACCAGAGGCCTCACACGGGGTGCAAAGCCGGATGCTGAATCTCTAGGGAGGATGCTTCTGCCAGCAGCATGCTCATCCGAGGCATCCCTGTCCCAGAGCCCAGGATCTGGGACCTCAACCCTGACCGCTGTGCTGGGCGGGGTGTGCCTTTGGGAGGGCTCTGCTGGAAAAGATAGAGGGGAGATTTCTGAAAAATGTACTCAAGGGCCCAGCATTGAAATTGCAGCCTCTGCCTCTCTTATGGTCAGTCCGATCAACTCAGTAATTCATCTCCTGTTTCCTGCCATCGGAACTTTTATTTTTAAACAAACAAAAGAAAATATTAAGTCTCCCCATGGAAAAATGTTTTTTCTCCTGTGCTAGCTTTTCTTTGACTTGGTATTTTGTTAAGAGGTTGGTGAAAATAACAGCCGATATAAAAAGGACGGGAGGTGGGGGGGGGGGCAGCTATGTCCTATTTCATATGTATTATAGGCACAATAATAATGCCCTTTTCATCAAAGACTTCATCACAGTCCCCATCCAATGTGCTCTCTCCGCTGCTAAGATAATGATCTTGGAACAAATCCTTAAGAAACGCTGGAGTAAACTATGTGAGAATTCACATGTTTACAGGTACGTGTTTGAAGGCCAAACTATAATAAAGAACAAACCATAATCAGGAATGTTCATTCCTCCACCTAGAACTGGAAGTTCAAAAGGGATGTAAACGTAAAGTTATAGCCAAAGAATACATTTAGGGCACTCTAAATAAAGTACCATGGAATGACAGAGAAAAGAAATTGAGGATTTTTATCAATCTAAGTGTAATAAATCAGAAGAGTTTGAGAAGGCAGAAACAGACTTATCCCTCACAAGGTTACTTGCCCAAAGTGTGTGCCAAAGACCTTGACAACCAGAAGCGTGGCCTCATGGGAGCCCAGAGATGTGTGGAGGTGGACCCCAGGGCCCCTTGTCCTGCATCCAGTGCTCTTTCTTCCTGACTTTCCAGAGCAGCAACCCCTCTAGTCTCCTCCCAGAGCCCTTATTCTGTCCTCTGGAGGGATCTGAGGAGGACACACTAAACTGGACTCACTAATACATTTTTATGTATAACTCCTCCTATAAGGGTATTTGCATTCCAATGAGGAAAAGCAAAAGAATACATCTGGCCCGAAATTTATCAACCTCATTGACATTTTGCCTGAATTTCACATGGTTAGCAAGGGAATCTTTATTTTAAACAGCGGGTCTCAGTCCTTTCATTTTTGTGAACTTTTTCTGCATGTGGGGATTTATCATACTCCCTGCTTTCCTATAAATTCTGTGCCCACTATGTGCATTTAGTTTGTAGATAAATGTAGTTTAATTTCATTATGGTGAGACATTTTAAGCCTACCGCATTGCAGAATTGCCTTTGAAATCAAAATGGTGTTTTTTGGGTAATACAGTAGCCCAATAATTCTCCATATAAAAAGAAGGAATTGTGAACCCGGCTCCCAGAGCTGTCAGTGACTGCTCTTGTGTTTGGCGGGAGGGAGGGGCTGGGCAGGAACCCCCATCTGCAGATGGAACTCCCGTGTCATTTCCAGTGGTTCAATCCTGCTCTCTTGCTTTTAAGGGGAGATTATATTGGCATCAGACTTCGGGAAAAGGAATTTGACCCAAAAGGAAGAAGGCAACTCACCTTTCTAGATGATATGGTAAAGAAAGGCATGCGGGTGGAAGCCACGTCTGTGTTACATGTTAGTGAAGGGGACATAAGTACATAAAGTATGTAATAAACAAGGCTGGCCCTGGTCTTCTAGAACGGCCTCTTTCTCATCTCATCCTGGCATTCCCCACATGGTCTTCTCAACCCATTAAACTGAAAGCAACAAGAATGAGAAAATAAAAGTCATGTGACTTCTGCTATTGGCCTTAGAAAAGATAAAAAAGCAAAATGGGTGCAGGGGCAAATATTACATATGATGTTAACATTTTTTTGGACAAAATTAGCTATCATGTAGTTCTCAAGTATAATACTGGGTGGTTTTTTGTTGTTGTTGTTTGTTTGTTTTTTTACCATGTGCATTAATGGAGAAAACCAAAGAATTGAATAATCCTAAAATCCTTTCTATTATTATTCGTGTTGAATCTTAGGTTCATGTTATGTAATAAAAATTCACTTCCCGTAAGTTAAGAAACTGTGTAAAGATCTAATTCAAAAGAAACTAGTAAACCCTCAGCTTTTTATCCTCCCATTTACTGTCCTGGCACTAGCAGGGAAGAAAGGATCTCTCCCTCCTCCCCTTCTGTCTATCTGACTTCCCTGGGGGTAAGCGGTCAGGCTTGGTTTTCTTAAGTGCTTCTCAGTGCACTTATTAGATGGAGAAATTAAGTCAATTAGATAATTGCTTCTCAAACTTTAATGAGGTCTTATTACAAGGCCATTGTGATTCAGGAAGTAGGGGGTGGGGCTGGGAATTTGCATTTCTAATAAATGATCCAGTGTCACCAGTCCACGAATCAGTCTTTGGATTAAGTTTCAACAACTGACCAGGGTCCATTTCTTTCCTTTCTTTCCTCCTCCCCCCCCCCCCCCCCCTCCTCCCCACCCCCCACCTTCTCCTCCTCCACCTCCCTCTCTTCCTCCTCCTCCTCCTCCTCCTCCTCCTCATCCTCCTCCTCCTCCTCCTCCTTCTTCTAATTCACTTTTCAGTCTGGTTCAGCCCCTGGAAGAAATAGAAATAATCACATTGTTTTAAAAAACATGGGTATGAGATAGAACCTTAAAACCCATCTGAAAATGCGGAAGTCAAACTAACCTTCATTGGAATTGGTCCTCAGCTTTCCGTATGAGTCTCTTAGCAGGTCACTTAATCAGGTCTACCTCAGCCCTTTGCTCATGCTCACCCCTCCATCTGGAGGTCCTTCCCCACCTTTATAAACCCTCCCCCTCCAAGCCCCAGTTCCACCATAGCCTCCTCTCTGAAGCCTCCCAGGCTTCCCCAGTGGACACATCAGTTCCCCTGTGCCCCGGGAACACATTTCCGTCATTCTACTTACAGAATTAGGAACTGTTCTCTGGGTCCCTCTTCGTCCAACTGCACCTTTCTCTATTTCAAAATTTTAAGGGGTGGGGGCTGGGGGGTGGTGGGATTGAGACAAAAAGGGGAAAAAAGAGAAAGAACTCATGGACAGAGACAAGAGTATGGCGATTGTGAGGGGAGGGGAGTGGGTGGAGGTGGAAGAAGGTATGGGGGGGATAAATGGTGACGGAAATAATAAAATAAAAAGTAAAAAAACCAACAAAACTTAAAACTGAGGCCCACAGAACATCAATTGTTCACCTAAGGATACAGTACCAATTACTGGCCATACCTAGATGTGAGTCCAGATTCCCTGATTCCGAATGTAATATTCTTCCCAAGAATCTCTGTTTTTGATCCACAGGAGCCAAGAACAAACAAACAAACAACGACAATAAAAACAAACAAGAAAAACAACCCCTGCTCTAGTGGGAGGTGAAGGCAATGCCTGAAGATCTCTAGGATTTCTGTCTGAGCATCAGGTTACTGGGCAGAGCTAATGATCCTCACCATTGCGGACAAAATAGTAGAACAGGTTTAGCAGAGCCATTGTCACTGGGCCCAGGGAGGGCTTCGGCCAATGTCTAAGCGGGTTCCTTTGCTCTCTGTGCTTCCTGCTTCCAGGCGCACTATGACCTGGCCATCAGTGTTGCCTTGCAATGGCTGGATTGCTCGGAAGACTTAACTTGGCTGGAGTGGGAAAAAGTGTAAGTTGAAATAGTTTTTTTGTGTTTTTTTTTAATGCGTGACTATGAGGAATGAAAGAGGAAGTTCTAACTGGCATCTTCCACCGTGAGCACTCTGATGTGAAAACACTGCAGCGGAGTTCCCTCTGCAACCAGAAATCTGAAGAAACCCCACAGCTGTCAACCTGGGGAAGTCACCTAGTGTTTACATTTGTTACATCTCTGCTGATCGGTTTCCTTTTTTTTAAAAAAAAAAAAAATACTTTTATTGATTTCAGAGAGGAAGGGAGAGGGAGAGAGATAGAAACAATCGTGATGAAAGAGAATCATTGATCGGCTGCCTCTTGAATGCCCCACATGGGATGGAGCCCACAACCTGAGCATGTGCCCTTGATCTTAATCGAACTCAGGACCCTTTAGTCCACAGGCTGACGCTCTAGCCACTGAGCCAAACCTGTTAGGGCCTAATTGGTTTCTATCACATGAACATCTTTCTTGCATAGAATGTTCTCCCTTAGAAATAAGACAGTGCTTTGTTGTGCACAGGCCATGATTGCTCAGATGGCCAATTCTGTGGGGAAAGGCTACAATCTTTTCCTAAGGACCATCAAACGCAACTTTTTAAGCATTTGACCAGATATGTACCTGAGATGAGCTGTTCGAATTGTAGAATAATTTCCTTTCCAGGATTATCGGCATTTTCTCCCTGTGTGCCAGGCAGACACACTCAATTGGTAAGAATGTGGAACTAATGAGACCAGAATTGAGCAGCTTATTCCAGAGGCCAGTTATTTTTCTCCGTTCCATGGCCTTAGAACACACACCTGGCCCTGGATGGCTGTATCAGTTAGAGTGCAGTTATAATAAGCAGAAAATCCAGTTTGAACAGACTTAAGCAAGAGAGAGAGAGAGAGAGAGAGAGAGAGAGAGAGAGAGAGAGAGAAGGAGGGGGAGGAGATTTACTGCTTCTGTATTTGAAAATCCATGCGTAGCTCTGCCTGAGGCAAGACTTAATTCAAACTCAAACCACATCATCAAGACCTACCTCTTGACTATTTCCTCTGGCTAGACACTGTGCTTAGTTTCAGCCTACTTTATTGCAAAATTCAGTCCAGGGAAAAATGGATTTCTAAAAATCACAGAATTGTGTCTCAATAGCTCTGTTAACCCTGACTTGTCTGGGGGTGGAGTGGGGGATGGAAGACCGTGACTAGCTTAGTCCACAGTGTGTTTTCCAATCTTTGGAATCCGGGGGTATTTTCACCTCCCCTTGAAGCACTTAGGCTTACAGTGGAGTAAGGCAGTTCCCCCAAGCAAATTGCCACAAGAAGGGAAAGGATCCTGGTTGGCAAATCCATACTTGTCCACCATAGTGACAAGTCAGCCCATGTTTGATAGCTGTGAAAACTTGGATAGATGAGGGCAAATTCATCACCACTGTTGGAAGATTCAAAATTCAAAGATGGTGGGTTCATCATATCAGTTTTGTGAACAAGTGCAGAGAACATAGCACATGGCCATTGGAGATTACTTATGGATTATTATCACAACCTTAGCAGGTGTCAAAAACAACAAGAATAAACCCTCGATTCTTATTTATTCATGTTCCCCCTTAGGAAAAGGCCCTTTCGTGGCAGACCCATATACCCAAACCATAGAGAAAGAGAAGCAATGATCTTATCATCTTATGCTGGAATCTTAATGGTAAGGAAAAGAACACTCTTTGTATATATGAAGATGCTATATTTTCTATGCACATTTTGATATTAATGCATATTTACTTTCTCTTTAACCAATGCTTATAAATGTTTAAGATGTACTGATATTAAATGTTTCATTTTTTAAGTTATAATAAAAAGACTTTGACTTCTATATTGTATTGTGGAAACATTTATTTAAGGGACAAAAGACCCCAGAATGAAATGCATAACTAATTGGATTCAGCATATTCTGGTTTAAAATTTATTCAGAAGTTGTTTATTTAATGCACATGCTACACAGGCACAGTGCTGGACATCCTGGAGCTTTAACAGCTTTGTTTTGTGCCAAAAGAAAAGCCATGATATGATAATACATTTTGTTGTTGTTGTTGTTGTTTAACAGAACAGCATCCCAATCGAAGAAGTCTTTAAAATTTACGGGGCGGATTCTTCTGCCAATGCTGGTGCTACCAAGGTAGGGGTGACCTGAGTCTATCAATTTCAGGGATTTTTAGAGAACATTTATTTGACACGTTTATCATGTTGTACTTTTAGGCATCAAATAACAGTTTTATATCAAAACGTACAAAACCAGATGTAGCCATATCTTACTTGGGTAATAAATGTTTGTAAAATGCTTTCCTTACGTGAAGGCTCATAGGTAGACCCTCAACCACTGAGCAACACTGGCTGGACAACACTGTGCCTCTTTCAAACCATGAGATGTCACAAAAGGTATGATATGATTTGAGCTACAAAGATAAGATTCTGAGGATCACCTACCCCTGTGGGCCCCCCAAGCTCGTCCCTGCTCAGGCCTTTCTCTTGTGGGCAGGTCAGCTGCACTGAGGACCCCCTCCGCATCTTAAATAAGGAATTAGCAGAACCGCTCAATGGACATATAGCACTTCAATTATAGTAAATTGTAGGAGCGATTTTAAAACGGTCCTAGGGGCTTAATAATTTCAAAAAATTTTAACTAAGAGATGGGTTGCTATAAAAAAAGTTATTGCCAAAAGTTCCTCTCTAATTGCTGCATATATCTGAATGACCTTTGATTCCTTCAGATAAAATATCTCCTAAGCAACAGCTAACATCCTTCCCAAGCAAGAGCTTTTAAAGCCCTGTTGAATACTAATCAGATTATGTCGAATTTCCAGCCACCAGAACTGCCCACATGATACAATGTGAGCACTGTGCACAGCCCTGATGGCTTTCTCCAGGACTATTTGCTGCCACCTGGTGACAGAAAGGCATCATGGGCCCAGTATCATTCACCAGTTTTACTAGCTTCAGGTTTTTCTCCTGGTAGGGAGCTGTTTTTGCTGATAGGGAGCCATTTTTCTGCTCAGGACCTTGGACCCATAGAAGTCAACCAAGGGCCAAGTAAGTGAGGGTTACACAAATAGCTTCAGATAGATATAAACTGTCCTACTCAAATTGAACCTGGAGAAAAAAGAGCACAAGTCTCCCTTCAACAAATAAAGCAAGCAATACAAATATTCTTCAACTCTATTTGATGGAGAAAGGGGAAGAAAGAAAAGAGAGGCCTTTACACACATCTGCCTTCTTTTCCTCCGCCTACCCCTTTCTATTGGAAGAAATTTTTGTTGAATGTGCTTTGGACATAATTTGGCACTCAAGAAGTACTTGAATCAAGAAATAACAATCATAATAATACTGTTACTATGCCACAATGAAGCTATGAATAAATAGCATTAAAGTAAAAAAGATATGATTAACTCTAGATTTAGGATTTGAATTTCATTCTGCATTTAAACGCTACATTAACTGCTTGCATGCGTCATCAGATTATCGGGACTCAGAGCATATCTGACCTGGAAGTGACCTTTAAAATCATCAGGTTCGATCTGCCCCAGTAAACAGGGCAACTGGAGCTTGAAAAGCATCCGTCTTGTATGTTCTAACTGCGTCAAGAATGATGTATGGCCGAAACCGGTTTGGCTCAGTGGATAGAGCGTCGGCCTGCGGACTGAGGAGTCCCAGGTTCGATTCCGGTCAAGGGCATGTACCTGGGTTGCGGGCACATCCCCAGTGGGAGATGTGCAGGAGGCAGCTGATTGATGTTTCTCTCTCATCGATGTTTCTAACTCTCTATCTCTCTCCCTTCCTCTCTGTAATAAATCAATAAAAAATATATTTAAAAAAAAAAAAAGAATGATGTATGGCTTGCCCTAGCCAGTTTTGCTCAGTGGATAGAGCATCAGCCTGTGGACTGAAGGGTCTCAAGTTTGATTCCAGTCAAGGGCACATGCCCAGGTTGTGGGGTGGATCCCCAGTACGGGCGTGCAGGAGGCAGCCAATCAATGATTCTCTCTCATCATTGATGTTTCTATTTCTCCCTCTCCTTCTTCTCTGAAATCAATAAAAATATATTTTTAAAAAATAACTTCATAAGTTATATAAGTGTCTAACCACTAAAAACAAACAAACAAACAAACAGGAGCCAATTCTCTCTCTCTCTCTCTCTCTCTCTCTCTCTCTCTCTCTCTCTCTCTCTCTCTCTTTTGTATCTGGCATATATTTACCCGAAGGGCTATTGCTATTATAGTCACAATTGCCCCATACTTATATAAAGCCTCCTTTCAATTACTTTCAGTGTTATAGGGTCACCTTTCTGAATAGATGTTGTGCTTCTGAGGTTAGAGGCCATAGTTTATGTTTAATTCCTTACAATGCTGGATATGAAGTGAACTCTCAATCAATATTTTTGCCATTTGAATAAAAGACTGAGGTCAAAAATAAAAGTTCCCCTGCTGAGGTGGCTCTAAACTGTTCTGTTGGTAAAGAGAACACATCCTCATTTATTGTTTAATACTGGCTTCCTGTATGATACAACCAAAAGCCCATAATAATAATAGTGAAAAATCGAAGTTTACTTCTCAGGTAAAAAAATAAAAGGAATCTGGAGGTGGGCAGACCAGGGGTGGTACCACAGTTCCACCCAATTATCAGGAAGCAGGCTTCTTCTGGGTCTCTGCTCAGTCATTCCTGTTGAAAATGACAAAATCCTATCTAATAAAAGGCTAATATGCAAACTGTCCCCTCGACCGGGAGTTCAACCGGGAGTTCGACCAGGGCCAACCGCCTGCAGCCCCTCCCCTCTGCTGGCCCTGTCCCTGATTGACCCCCTCCATCCCAATTGGGGGCCAGGGGGCCCCCAGCCATGCACGAATTTGTGCACCGGGCCTCTAGTAATATATAAATGTAGTCCCTTTCTTTAAAAAAAAAAGACACTCCCCCCACCAAAAATACCCCACCTGTATATAAACTACACAATTATCTTGGAGTTCAAATTTCTACCTACTTCAAAGATGATATCAATTACGTGGGAACTTGCTCATTGGGAGTGCAGTCATTAAGAGTTTTGAATGATAGAGATAGAGCAGAATATTTTCTACTGACCTGGAAATCTAAAACTAAGTATTTGTTTTGTTGTCCTTGCCTTTTTGTTTTTGCCTCGGTTATACATCATGCAAGGGTGTCCTGTTGATGAGATGGCATCTTTGTTGACATGCATAAAAAGATTTGTGTAATCAACTTTTACTCCTGAAACCTAAAACCTGAATCTCTGTCAGTGAGAAAGCAGAAAGTTGTTGATCTTGCAGGGGGTGTTAATCATTTAAGGCCTCTTGGCTCTGATTCATTATTTGTCAGCAATTACTCAACCTTTTTCTGGGAGATGAGGCAGGATTCCCTAAAGGAATTGATGGCCAAATTGTTGCCATGGGTAATTCTATACAAAAAAAGAGAACTGAGTCAGGGAAATAAATGATGCTGCTGATACATATAAATATTTATTATTATTAATTTTAAGGCTACTATATTATACTGTGTACCAAACACTACTCTAAATACTTTACATACGCTAACTCTTTCACCCCTACCACAATTCTATAAGGTAGGTACCAGTATCATTATTATCTCATGAAGAAACAGGCACAGAGAAGTTAAAAGACGTGCCCAAGGTACATGTCTTATACATGGTTCAGCCTCCATTCCGAATCAGCCAGTTTGACATCAAAGTCCATGCTGTCAACCACTTATTGCCTTGACTAGAAGCATAGTTCAACTAGTCAATGACATCTGAGTGCCTACTATATGCTAGGCACTCTCTAAGGCTCTAGAGATAAAAGATTAAATTAGTTAATCAGCCTCTCTCCTTCCACCCTTCAATCCATTCTCCACAAAGCAGCCAGAGTGATATTAAAAAAAATAATAAAAAAATTAATTAATATAGATATATATTTCAGAGAGAGAAAGGGGAGAGAGAGAGATAGAAACCCAATGATGAGAGAGAATCATTGATTAGCTGCCTCCTGCACGACCCCTACTGGGGATCGAGCCCGCAACCCGGGCATGTGCACTGACAGGGAATTGAACCGTGACCTCTGGTTCATGTGTCAACACTCAACCACTAAGCCACCCAGCTGGTTACTCCCTAGCACATCATCTGTTTAGTATATTTATTAAACTTATCATGATGTATAATTACCCAGGTTGCCTAATAGTTTAGTGCAGCTGTGGACAAACTACGGCCCGCGGGCCGTATCTGGCCCGTTTGAAATGAATGAAACTAAAAAAAAAAAAAAGACCGTACCCTTTTATGTAATGATGTTTACTTTGAATTTATATTAGTTCACACAAACACTCCATCCATGCTTTTGTTCCGGCCCTCCGGTCCAGTTTAAGAACCCACTGTGGCCCTCGAGTCAAAAAGTTTGCCCACCCCTGGTTTAGTGTCTCTCCTCACTCAGCTCTTAAAGCAGAGCCTGGACCATGATAGGTGCTCACTGAAAACTTGTTGAATGGATGAATGAATGAATGGACAGTTCTAGCCTTGAGTAAGTTTCCAGCGCCATGCAGCCGACAGTGGATTACAATCACAACACACTGGGTTTGTTCTATGTGAGTTCAAAAAGAGCTTTGAATTCACAGATGAGAGTCAGTAATTCTGCCTTGGGGTGGAGGAGGGGGCAGAAGGCCAGTATAGGAGCGCGAAGGTGTGGAGACATTGGGCACATTTCTCAGAAAAGGTGATATTTGAGCTGCATCTCAAAGGAAGAGGAGGGGCCTTCAGGAAAAGAGCCCCTGGGCAGAGAGGAAGGAAGTAGCCACTCCAGGTAAAGGGAACTCTGGGGAGTATCAGGGTGATTCTAGGCAGGAGGGACCCAGCCTGGGAGGAGAAGACAATGTGTGAACGTGCCTGACAATGAAACCTGGGCTGCCAGGTGACTGGTAGGAACGTCTAAGGACTGTGGGCTGGGTACGCAGGCCAAGTGCCATAGGCAGCAGGCAGTAGCAGCACAGTGTGTGCAGCGTTTCAAAGGAGGACTGTTTGCCTTTCAGGTTCCCCGAGCTCCACCTTCCCGCCTCTCCTTGCACCCTTTTGCCATGTTAACAGCACCCAGAGCAGCAGAATATGCCCGCAAACAGAGTAAGCCTGCTTACTTCCATCCGTTAGAGAAGTTTAACACGGGAGGGGGACTCACAACGCCAGGTCAGAGGTGGCATGGTAAGAACAGCTCTCTGGGTGAATGCGAAAGAACCAGGAGTACTGACGGCTTGATTTCCCTCAATTGTCGAAACCAGGGAAGTATTTCTTAGACGCCTTGGTAATGGGAGCAAAACACTCATGAAGGGAAAGATCTAGAACTGTGGGTGGACTCCTTTTTTAAAAGGTGTTTTTGTTGTTGTTCCTACATGTGTCTCTAGGTGTCAAGCTAAGAAGGGGAGCAACGAATAAAAATGCCACCAGCAGCTCTAGGAGGGAAGCAAATGCCACGGAACAGAAATCATCAAAAAAGTTACCTTTGGACACACAGCCAAAGAGCAAAGTAGGTCTAAAAACACAAATTGGACCCAAATGATACCAGATGTTGGGGAGTACTTTACTTATATTGTAGTTAAAAGTCTAGCCTTTAGAATGAGATGTTCTGGGTTTGAATCTAAAGCTTACTACCTACCATCTGTGTGACTTCAGGTAAGTGACTTAGCCTCTCGGTTCCTTAGTTGTCTCTTCTGCAAAATGGGAAGAATGATGGTATCGCCTCTTAACCCTGTGGGATGATTATCTGAGATTATACATGTTAAGAGGTTAGAACAGTGCTTGTACAGAGTAACCCTAAATAAATACTAACCACTATCATCTTTTAGCTTTTGAGAAACGCAATTCACAAGTTAATCAGCTGTTATATTATGGGTTTAAGTAAGTGTGTATGTGCTTATAGTAAAAATTTCAAACAATACAAAAATTACAAGTGAAATCCACACCCCTTTCCTACTACTTAGAAATAACCACTGTTAATATTTCTTGTTGATACTCAAATATTACTATACATTGTATGTCCTACTACTGATTTTTTAGAAATAGCCAAGAAATAAATTAAATAAACAAACATCTTTATTAAAGTAATAATTATTTTATAAATGTATGAGAAATATACTTTCATGGTTTATTGTTTAAAGTAGTTTTTCATTTTATATATTTGAACTTTTTAGTCTTTTTCTTTATAGCTTACTGATATTATATCATGTATTTTAACTGATAAACAATTTTATAACCTCAAGATGAAACAATGTCTTAGTCAGGATTTTCTATATATTTCCAGCCACTGCCTTTTTTCATAAAGTAAGGGAAAAGGAGAAATTATTTGTTAAAACTCCCAGTATTCTGGAAAACAGTTTTAAGTATTTCTTTTAAACTGTATTGGTATTAGTACCTCATTTATGAATAGAGATGGGTATGAGCAACATCACATCCTAGGAAAGTGTCAATATTGGGCAGCGTTCTAGGACATGAATTTGGAATGGACAGAAAACAGCATACTCTAGTGATTAAGAGTGTGGATTCGGAGCCAGATAACTAGATTTGAATCTGGTTCCTCCATTTAATAACTTGGGTGAATTATTAAGTGAATCTCTTGTGCTTCGTCTATAAAAGGTGGATGATAACAGTATGTACCTCATGGGGTTGTTACAGGGACTGTGAATAGACATGGAAGGGCTTAGGAAGTGCCAGGACTGTCACAGGCAATAACGCACGTGCCCCCTTATTGCCACTCCGGAGGAACTCACAGCATCATGGGAGGGAAGAAGGATGGTGAGAGGACAGTCTGGGGGATCTGGTTTCCATTTCCACACAGAAGGGGCTTGGATATCAACGCTCCACTCTAACAAGTAAAAAGCTGAACAGACTGGAAAATCAGCAACTCTTCTTGGAAATGAAAGAAAGGGGAAGGCACAGGGTACACTGCTGCCCCCAAGAATAAGGTGGACTGATGGATGGGTAGAGGGATAGAGAATTGCCCTGATGTATGTTAAAGCAAACACGGAAAACTGTTTACAGAATTAGCAGGTTATGGGCATATGTATCTCATGGTTCAATTCTTTCAACTTTTCTGTATGAAAAATTTCATAATGAAATTTATGAAGAAGAAGGAAAGAGACAGAGATTGTCAGAGTGGATCAAAAAACAAGGCCCAATTATATGGTGTGTATAAGAAACCTATTTGAAATATGAAGACACACATAGATGAAAAATAAATGGATAGATAAAAATATGCCAAACTAACACTAATTTTTTTTTTTTTTAAAAAAAAGCAAAAGTAGCTATATTAATTTCAGACAGAGCTACTTCAAAGCTAGGAATGTTATCAGGGATAAAGAAGGGAAGTGCATGATGATAAAGGTTTATTCTCCAAGAGGCATAGATTCCTTAAGTAGTCACTGAACAACAGAGCATCAAACTCCATGAGGTAAAATCTCATAGAACTGCTGGAGAAGCAGATGACTTCACTGTCCTAGTTGTAGACGTCAACACCCCCCCCCCCCCCCCCGCCGTCAGAAATGGAGAGGGAGCAATTTTAGTTTAAATTTAAACCAATATACAAGAAATTCAAAGTAACATGCTGTACGAATAATACACAACCGCGAAAGGGCAAAGAAATGATTTGCTTCAGGTGTGGTCCATCAAATGAAGTATTACTTTAACTATTTTATTTTATTTGGAAACAATTTTGAGCCTAGGGAAAAGTTGCTAGAGTATGACAAAAAACCTGTGCATACATTTGACTCACATTCGCCAACTGTTAATGTTTTGCTCTATTAGCTATATCATTTTTCTCTCTGCCTCGCTATCTTCCTCTGTTCCTGTCTCTTTCTCTTTGTGTATAGATATAGATACATATTTTTTCTGATCTATTTGCAGTTACATCACCATCTCATTTTAACCCCATATAATTTAGTGTGTACTTCCTAAGAACAAAGTCATTCTCTTGAATAACCATAGTATAGTTACCAACTTCAGAAAATCTAGCATTAATACTTTGATCCAATCTACTGTCTATATATAATTTTGTCAATTGACCCAATAATGTTTTTTAAAACATTTTTTTCCCTTCTGTAGAGGATACATTGTGGGACTTATTGTATTTAGTTGAAAAATATAACTCAATTTCCAAATGTCTCAGAACAGTTCCATGGAAATTCTTTGGTACCTACATTCATCTTAACCCATCATGGTCAATAACTTAGTACCTGATACTTGACCTTAACTCCCTGTAGGTTGAAAGCTACTGTCTGTGTCCATGCTTGATACCAAAATCCTCTTTTTATTCTGCAGGTCACTTAGAAACTTGGACTTGCACCCTGGGACTTCACAATAAAGTCTCTGGGAGAGGAAAAGAAACATCATCTCAAAACTGCAGCTCTTGCCAGCATATTTTTCTTTACAGTTAGCTTTGATGCTAACTGCATTGCAGTGTTATTTTTGGATGTTGAACATTCTTTTCGTAGAGTCATATTATACGGCTACATTTGGGTTTTTAAAATGTGTGTATTTTATGCTACTTCATTGTGAGTGGAAGACTGTTAGTTGGAGAATTCCAAGAATATATAGTATTTCTATGTCAGAGCAGGCTGGCTTTTAGCACATTTTACAAATGTGTAGCATTGGATAGTGCAGAATGGTGGAGTAAGAGGCAGTTTTCCAAACTTTCAATCCAAAATAAAATTAATCTATCATTTGCCTTTACTATGTTGTCACATGGAAACATGTGCAATCCTTTCAATAAAGCATTATAAGAAAATGGGTGTAGGCTTTCGTTTAATAAAATATCATGATTAGAAACATTGATGATGAGAGAGAACCATTGATCGGCTGCCTCCTGCATGCCCCACACTGGGGATGGAGCCCACAGCCTGGGTATGTGACCCAACCAGGAATCGAATCAGGATCTCCTGGTTCATAGGCCGACGCTCAACCACTGAGCCACACCAGCCGGCCTCTTTCTTTCTTTATTTCTTTCTTGTCCTTCATACTATGTACCATGAGGTAAGTACTATAAAATAACTCATCCTCTGAGAGCTTATGTGGCTACGAAGTGGACATTCTCAGTCCACCAAGCTTTGCTCCCTCCCCCAGCCCTGGGAAGCAATCTATAAAGCAATAAACTTCCCAGTCATGGACCCAATGACCATAAAAGCCTTTCCCCTGATCCTTATCACAAGTTGACTACCAGCCGCCGATTTCTAGTTACATGAAGTACAAAGGGGAAGTTAGTCGCTGTGCCTTAAAGCATCTGTCAAAACTGGCAAAGACCAGCATCCAGATTCGTGTCCTGTACTCGACTGGCACGTCGTGGACAAAAAGAGAATTTAAGTTAGAGGGTCTCTGTCAAGGGAAATTAGTGGGTGCTGGGCATTCTGCTTCCCCAGGGCCCCTCTGGAATTCTGCGGCTCTTCTAGAAAGGTATAGATTTTTCCCTGGAAATACATGGGGCGCAATTGAATTATGTGTGGAGACACAAGCGTTTCAGGTCAAAAGTTCAGACTGATGTGCTGATAAGTTTAGAAAAACACTGGGAACCGGATAAAAGCCACTGTAGGGGCCCAGCAGGACACGTACAGGACAGCGTTGGAATATGCCAGAGAATGAGGGCAACTCCACAGGCATTTCCCCTGAACGCAGCATGGAAGAGGGCTCCATGAAATCCCCTCCTCGCCCGGGCCCCTTTGTGCTGCTCCTGCCAACGCAGCAGCCGCCCGCGATATAGACCCGCTGCCCGCTGCCACCCACCCACTGACCTCGCTGCATCCCAGCCAGCCAGCCATGGGGAAGGTGAGCGGGACACAATGAAATAAGATGGCGGTAAAACCCCTATACAAGACCGACTGGGGGCAAATGATTTCCCTGGGCTGTTCTTCCTTGCAGATCACCTTCTATGAGGACCGCGGCTTCCAGGGCCGCCGCTTCGAGTGCAGCAGCGACCACCCCAACCTGCAGCCCTACCTCAGCCGCTGCAGCTCCATCCGCGTGGACAGCGGCTGCTGGATGCTCTATGAGCGCCCCGACTACCAGGGCCCCCAGTACTTCCTGCGGCGCGGCGACTACCCGGACCACCAGCAGTGGCTGGGCCTGAGCGACATGGTCCGCTCCTGCCGCCTCATCCCCCAGGTGAGTGTGGCCTGCGGGCGATCAGGCTGCGGGGGGGAGGGGGGGGGGGGGCTCAAGTATTATTGAGGGGCATTAGGGTGAAGGTTTCCTTTAAAAGCACCCAAGGATTGCCCTGGCCAGGTAGCTCAGTTAGTAAGAGCATCATTCCAATAGCCAAGGCTGGAGGTTTGATCCCTGGTCAGGGCACAAACCGATGTTTCTCTCTTTCTCTCCCCCCCTTCCTCTCTCTCTTTCTCTCAAATAAATAAGTAAAAAATTATTTTTAAAAAAATAAAAGCACCCAAGGATTAAGTGGGCTTTAGATACTTGCCTAAGCTCAAATAGATACTTGCACAAAAACAGCACAGAATATGGGGAAGAATCCACTTAGGGAATGACTCTGTTTTGTTTTTAATTTTTGTTACCAATAGGTCAATGAAAAGTTGTCTGCAATAAATGTAATAACATTAGAGGGATATAAAGCAAAGCCTGCAAATGGGAAATTGGTTGGACAGAAAAGACAGTATTTCTAACAAACTAACGTATACCTATAGTAAGGGAGTTGATTAGGAACGAAATTATTTCCACTGTAGACTAGTAGAAATGGAGAACTCTATTGTTAGTGTAGGCTATTCAAAGGTAATGTCCAAGTGTTGGGAAAAGCAGTTGTTCTTAATTTGGAAAATCAGCTGAATTAGGATTCAAGTGACTAAACTAATTTTCACTGAAGTATGTGATTTTTAAAATCCTACTTTAGTGGTAAATTTATATGTATATAAATTCAGGCGATAACACTCATATTAAAAGAATACTAGTCAAACACTTTACATTATCCCCCTAATATGGGTTTAACACCTAGGAATCAAGGAGTTAGGTAATTAGGAGTTAAGAAAATAAGATATTTGAGCTCTAGATGGATTCTAACCCAAACATTGGATCTCTTAAAAATTTCGTCTCCTCGATCTGAAATGGAGAACAGGCATGCAAACGTTTGTTAATGTGAGTAGGACACAAACCCATACACAGCAATCTTAGAGCCTCAGGTTTTACATGGACAATCCCACGCCCCAACCCACCAAGTTCATCTGTTGTTTGCTTGCTTCTCTCTCTGTGGGTGGAGCAGACGGGCTCCCACCGGCTGCGGCTGCATGAGAGAGAGGACCACAAAGGCCACATGGTGGAGCTGAGCGAGGACTGCTCCTGCATCCAGGACCGCTTCCACTGGGGCGAGGTCCGCTCCCTCCACGTGCTGGAGGGCTGCTGGGTCCTCTACGAGATGCCCAACTACCGGGGGCAGCAGTACCTGCTGAGGCCCCAGGAGTACAGGCGCTCCCACGACTGGGGGGGCACGGATGCTAAGGCTGGCTCTCTGAGGAGGGTGGTGGATTTATACTGAAATCGGTTCACGCTACCATTTTCTCAGTTTGGAACCTAATAAAGTATTTCGTCTGTATTGTTGGCAATTGCTGGCTTCTGTTTTTCTTTCGTTGTGTGCTAGTTAATTCACCGGTCAATGGTCCCTGACAAAGGAAGCATTTCTAGAGGCCTTTAAGGAGTGAATACGTAGGAGGGGGTTCTAGAAGAGCTTTAAGGTAAAGTCTTGAACAGGTTCAGAAGTGGGGGTGGAGAGAGGAGGTAGCTTGCCTGAGAATTGAAGGCAGGTCAGCATAGAGAATTGGGAAGGGCGACTGGGGAGAACAGAGCTTCAGCCTCTGCTTTGAGGAACAACAGTCTTTTTGATCCAAGACATGGTTGGAGGCCACAGAGGGTCAGCGATGAGTGGTGAAGAAAAGCCCCCATGGCAAAAAGCCTGATTATACTACATGAGGATTTTTGCTCACTCTCAAGCACAGTGCTATGTAACTGATGCCAGGGCTGCCATTGGCCACTGCCAAACTTTTGGACTCAGTTGCAGAACCTCCTTCCTTGTCTAAAACAGCTTCTGATTGGGGTGCACCTCTTGGCCAGGACAGCAGCTGGGCCAAATACTGCGTGAAGGGCAGAAACTGCACAGCTGTACATGACACCAGCTAATACAAATAAATGGATGAGATACACGTTACTATTTCTTTTTATTATCTATGCTCATCCGAGGATATTTTTCTGTTGGTTTTTAGGGAGGGTGGAAGAGAGAGAGGGAAAGACAGACAGAGAAACATCAATGTGAGAGAAACATATCAACTGGTTGCCTCCTGCATGAGCCCTGACTAGGGCCTGGGCCGGAGAGGAGCCTGCAACCAAGGTACATGCCCTTGACCGGAATTGAACCTGGGACCCTGTGGTCCAAAGGCTGACACTCTATCCACTGAGCCAAACTGACTAGGGCCATGTTACTATTTCAAATAGATGATATAGTGTGCCATAACACATGAAAATTCTTTTGCTATAATAGAACAATCTCAAATCTAAAGACACATTGAAGAAAGCCGTAATTTTGGGCGCCCTTTGATTGAAGTTAAATCTGCTTGCTCACAAGCAAAGCCCTGTATATTAAAAATATTTTTCATTCATTTCATCAGTAGAGAATTAATTCATTTTTAAGTTGAAATTTTCCCTCCAAAGCAAAAACCTCCCATAATCTTACTACTTTACAGATTCTATATATAAAGAAGTGGAGGGAGTCCTTCTGATCCCTTCTTCATTGCTAACACTTGTTTACACGGTAAACACCCTTTTCAAAGTTTTCCCTCATTTTGTAGCTATCTCATAAAACACATGCTCCCCCCCCCCCACACACACACAAATGGAATCATGCTGTGTATATTATTCTGCAACTTGCTTTTAACATGTGATATGACATGGACATAAATCTAGGTCAGTCCCTTATTCTGTTAAGCAGAAGCATTGTATTCCATTGTTGGGAGTGTCCCTAGATTATCTCACCATTTATCTGCTGGTGACGGGCTTTTCCAATGTTGGTTTTACAAACAAGGCTGCAAAGAATGTTGCACATATACCTTTATCCACACATGTCATAATTTTTGGAGGATGGAGACCTAGAAGTGAGACTGCCTACTCACAGCACAAGATATTTTTTTATTTAAAAGACTTTGCCCAACCCAGCCAGTGTTGTTCAGTGATTGAGTATGGACCTATGAACTAGAAGGTTATGCTTTGATTCCTGGTCAGGGCACATGCCCAGATTGTGGGCTCGATCCCCAGTGTGGGGCATGCAGGAGGCAGTTGATCAATGAGTCTCTCTCATCATTGATGTTTCTATTTCTCTCTCCCTCTCCCTTCCTTTCTGAAATCAATAAAAATATATTAAATAAATAAATAAATAAATAAAAGACTCTGCCCAATTACTAGCCACCAGAAATTATAACTTCTTTGAGTTAGAGTCTTCACCATTTATTGAGCACCTGCCATAGGCTTGCCAGATGTGGCACTGGGGATGAAAAAACAACCAAAACAAAGAAATGAAAGGCATTGTCCCTACCACCACAGAGCTCTATAAAAAATACTAAATATGAACATGGTGGCTGGCAGCCACGGACCTGGAGCAAGCAGGAGGCTTGGATGCCCCAATGATGGAGGAAGCCAAGCTTCCTGGCCGGCTGCTGCCTCCTCTCAAGACAACAAAATTCAATTATAGAAGGTAAATAGAAAACCGATTCTGAGAGAACCAAGATGGTGGCATAGGTCAACGCCGGAGTTTGCTGCCTTGAACAACTACTTCAAAAGTGAAACTAAAAAACGGAACGGACATCACCCAGAACCACAGGAACACTGGCTGAGTGGAAGTCCTACAACTAGGAGGAAAGAGAAATGCATACGGA